TATATATATATATATATATATGTACACATATAGTCGTACACATGCACACAAATGTGACAGCAAAATGAACGTAAGTAATAGAGCCCACTTTTCAATGACCAGTTGGATTTGCAGGGTACCTATTGTTACATATCTGGATGAAGGAACCGGATAACTGGAAGTGGGAACCAGGAATCTGTTCACAGTTTCTACTGGCCACAGTATAGCTGCAGTCTGCAGGCAGCAGATAATTTGGTTAACGAGACTGGATATCTGGCTGCAGACACTTAATCTGAGAGCACAGTGAAGATATTAGTAGGTCGCAAAGCAGGGATAAAAAACATGTCCTAATGCATTGGAATCGGACGCTTTCTTGATTCCATGACAGCGAGATAATTTGTTTACATTCTTTCTGCCCAAAATGATAGGAAAGAAGGAGCAAACCACACTAGAACACCTGCTAACCACCCACCTCGACTTTGGTCTCAACAAAATCTTATACAACAATAAAAAATGCCACATATTGTAAAGCACACTCAAAATAGAATGAACAACCTTTTGGTGCAAGTTTCAAACAAAGACACTCACTCAAAGAGAAAAAATCCCCAACTAAGATACCGATACAACATTGCTCTGGTCGTTTTGAGCCGATTAGTTTTAGTAGATGGTTTTACAGCACTCGCAACTGCATAAGGTCATAATATGAGCAACAAGGGGTGGATGTCAACAGAGAAATCTTTACAGGGAATCAGACTTACTCTGCTCACCTCTCTAGCTTCAACAGCACAAAGTCTGCTTCCACTGTCAAGCCAACCCGGAAATTGCAATTCACAAGAGAGTGACAAACATACAAAAGAAGTAGAGGAAAAATGACAATAGTAAGTATTAGGAAAGAAAAAGCAGCAGTTCCCTGTTGTAGATCAGACACAGTTATGAGCGTGACATGATAAATCAGCCCATTTACAATTCTTCTACTCTTGCACGAGAAATGTCCCCCCTTTGGGAATGGCCTAAAGACACTTCAGTCAGTGGCACCGCCCCGGGGGGTATTGAGCTGATTCAGACTTGAGTTTGAATATAGAGAAGCACACAATTATGGTCATATAGAGCTGGGGAAAAAGTAAGACAGACAGACAGACAGACAGAAACAACAGAGGGGAAAGAAATGAAGTAGGACCTACCAGTGACACCCTCCAACCACCCACACAGACATACAGAAACAACAGAGGGAAAAGAAATGAAGTAGGACCTACCAGTGACACCCTCCAACCACCCGAGAGCTGATTCACGAAGAAAAAAAAAACAAATGAAAAAAACCCAATCATTAACAATACACCCTCTTTAGGTAGGACATCATGTTCTTGCGATCACCCAGAAATGCAGGAAACTTATATTAAAGACTTACGCCAACGATTTTTACAGTAGAAAACAAGTGTAATTACAAGCAGAGTTTGATGAAATCAGTACAGCAGCACAATGATTCAACACAGCAGATGAAATCAGTACAGCACACGTGAAATCTTGACTAGATGACAATAACACAAATCAACGCCACAATGATGTAAACAAAAAAACAACAAAAAACCCCCCATTAAAATTCAATGAGGAACCATGGCAACCAGGACTGAAGCGAAATTAAAACATCATACTTGCTTCAAAAATAAAATTATGCTGCAATACATCAGATCTTCGAGCAAGTCTTTTGCGCAACAGGAAAAACTCTGTATGCGTGTTATCTCTTTCTTCAATAACTGTACACTGACCATTTCAAATCTATCTCTTAAATACCTCATATATAAGAACCATTTCAAATCTAATCTCTTCAATATACCTGTAACTGTAAATCTTCAATACCTGTATAATGACCATTTCAAATCTTATCTCTTCAATACCTATACACTGACCATTAAAATTTCAAATCTCTTCAATACCTGTGCACTGACCATTTAAAATCTCTTCAATACCTGTATATGGACAAGGAGCGATAAATCCACACCGTATCACGCCAACCATTAATCAGTGTCGGTTTGACAGGTCTATCCCTAACTACTAGCCCTTTCCACCCCTCAACTTGACCACAGTGAGATTGTGGCCTCAGGACTTGAACCAAAAACCACAGGACTTGAGAGGCTGGCCCTCTGCTGTGTTGGCTCAACAGACAAAAAAAAAACCCCGCCTTCATTCAAACCAAGTCATCAATAAAATTTCACAGTAAGTCAAAAAGAACAAGAGCTAGGAAAAAAAGAGCACAATTTTGTTCTCAGGCATGAAGAAACCCTCACCACAATTTGTCTGACACAGAAAGGCAAAAACTACCAAAATGAAAGAGCAATATATCACCATCATAAACAAAGGAAAAAAGCTTAGTAAAAAACCCCGTCCAGAATACAAAAATTTGTCATAAATTAATTTGTGACACATTACTCAATTATTCTTGCTTGATCTCTTTAAAAAAAAAAAAAAGTTTAGTTTTAGTAAGAGTTTTACGGCACTTGCAACACAATAAGGTCATATACGTGCCGAAGATTAAAGGTGTTACAAGAGAGAAACAAATACAAAATAGAAGGAGGAGGAGAGATCAGGACGATAGACGTTTGATAGGAAAGAAGAAGCAAACCCACACCAGAGCACCTGCCAACCACCCACAAAAAAAACAAAAAACAAAACAAAAAACCGAGGACAGAGAAACTGCAGAGTGTGGGAAAACCTCTGATCACGTCCATCCCTGGTTCATTCAGTATCTGGTGGCCTGTGGGCCGAAGGTGGAGGCCGCGATCTGACTCAGCACCTGTGCTCCCCACAGGGTGAAGGTTAAAGTCAAGGGCGTGACATAACTCAGTACCCCCGCTACCCTTGTGGCGAAGGTCAAGGCCGTGACCTGACTCAGTACCTGTGCGGCCCCCGCGGGGCGAAGGAGGAGGCGGGGTTGTCTCGGAGCAGCTGCGCCCAGTGCTGCGGGTCAAATTCTTCCATGGCCTTCTCCAGCGACTCCCCGCTGCTGTTGCGGCTGCGCGAGCTGTACATCATGAGCTCAGGGAACTGGACCTCGTCCAGTTGGATGGCAGGGAGCTCGCGGTCTGAGCTGCTGCTGCCCGGACGGCTGCTGCGACGGACCGAGGAGGAGCCCGACGGGTTGCGGCTGCGGAAGAAGTCGGAGGGGAAGAGCTCCTCAAAGCTGGAGCGGATCCCCGAGGAGTTGGACGCGTGGCGGCTCCGCGAGCGAAAGTCGATGTTGAGTAGTTCCGGGTCAATCGGGCCAGCTTTCATTGAGGACGCGGATGGGTGGCGGTTCCGAGAGGAGGAGGAGGAGGAGGAGGCAGACGTTGCAGAAGCTCCGTTGTACGGAGGGGGGTCGCCGCCAGAGTCCAAGGTCATCCGGGGAGGAGGGGCTGTGTAGGAGAAAGAGGAGGTGAAGGAGGGGTGTCGGTTCTGAGGTGCATCGCTCGCGGAGTGAGGTTGCGACGTCTCGGTGGGGTCCATCATGTCTGGGAGATCCGTGTCTCTGGAGCCCGAGAGATGTTTCATCCGGCCCGCCTCGGGAACTCCCGTAATCCTCAGCCCCACAGCCGCGAAAGACGGATGCCGGCTTCGCGACATAGGAACCTCTGACCTGCTCTCCTCCATTTCTAGATACGGGGAATACTTAAGAATTCCAAACGTGGGGGGAGGCGAGGGGGGCAATTTTCTACGACCAGGGGCAGCTTCGGAGGCGTCTTGCAGAAAAAGCATCGATAAGGGGAGGCCATCCATGGGTCTGTCCGAGACGTCCAGGCCTCCGAGAATGGCGACCCTTTCCCGATCCGTGACCGACAGACGGCGCTGTCGCAGAGCTTCCTTCTCCTCCATCTCCGCAGGTAACTTCCTCTCCGGGGGAAGCTGCTCCAGGAGCAGGAGGTGTGACCCCTCCAAGGTCGGGTCAATCCGGCCAGACTCAGAGATCGCTGCCGCGTCGGCGTTTGGGTGAACCAGAAGCTCGTGGTAGATTGGAAGCTTCGAGATCGGTGGGTACGGAGGATCTAGCTCAGAGGGAAAGCCGGGATAGCTTAGGGAAGACTCTTGCATCAGTTGCTGCTGCTGTTGTTGCTGCTGCTGCTGTTGTTGTAGTTGTTGTTGTCGCTGCTGCTGCTGCATCTGTTGTGCAATCTTGTAATTCGACTGCAGCGTCCGTTGTCGGATCAGCGGCGATATGACAGAACGCTCAGGGTCACTGACAACGGTCCGGCCGTCCATGTCTTCGTCAAGTCTTGCTGCTGCAGACGTCTGCCCGAAGACCTTGGGAATCGAGTCACTCTGAAGGTCAGCGTAGGTCACCGGCACCCCCACGGACAGCTGATCATCTTCCTTACCATCCAGAAATCTATCGTTGTTGGAACATTTGAACGCCTTAGACGTCGCCGATAGATAACTCCACAGTTTCTGGCTGTTATTATCACCCGATGGCGTGTGCCGTCTCTGAGATTCTTTCAAGCCGTGATGCAACGCACTGAAAGACTGCAGGCCTTCCCGTCTCGCTGACCCAGCCGTCGCGACGCTAGAGGAGAGAAATTTGACCGGAGCGCTTCTGTCCGACAAGGCGAGGCCAGTCGTTTGGTACCCCAGCCCAGGAGGCTCCATGTCTCCCTGCAACAAGTGACCACCACCACCACCAGCACCGTCCCCATACATTTCACCGACGACCACATCACCACGAAGAGCTCCCCGATCCCCTGCCAGCACATCGATCCTCTCGGCAGCGTACTCCACGTTTGCAGAAGAGCCTCTGACCTTGAGGCCCACCCCGTGTTTCATTTCCTCCCCTGAAGCATGGACTTCCAACCTTTCATGAAGTCGTTTGGACTGGTCTGAAGTCCGGGTAGCGTTTGAAATTTCCCCCGTGGTATTTTGGAGACCATCTGACGACGACATAAATGTGTAAACATCCGAGTCAGTCGAGACGCCAGGCACAGCGTTTTGAACAAACCTTTGGGTGGAACATCTGGCCCCGGTAAACGCACCATTACCAGCCGGTGTGGAGCTGTTAAAAACTGAACTCATTGAATCCGGATTCCCCCCCTGGCCTCTGAACACTGCGCCGTGGTGGGTCACAGAGGTCAGAGTAGAGGACGGGCTGCCTTGATCCGCCAGTAGAGCCTTCAGCTTGCTGTCTTTGCCCTGGTGCTGGGTCGCTGCAGGTCGGAAGTCGCTAGCATGACCCCCAGGAGAGTACAAAATGTCCGCGGGCAACGAAGTAGAAACCTGGTCGGAGAACTGGACTTTTTTACTGCTCAACCTGCCACCAGCCAGATCCTTCCTCTCCCTCACTGGCCTTAGCATCAGGGGCGGCAATTCCGTCAGCGATTTCCCTCCATCTGTATCCGATGGCTGACCGACAGCGTGGCTGTGGGTGACCGGGTTCGAGAGCTTTCTGTCGTCGTGTTGGGAGAACCTTCCCCCGGACAAACCGGCCCCTTCGAAGGTGGGCGGAGAGGCCATCATGGCCGACGCTTTGGCCTGGCTTTGAGACATCAGTCTCAGTTTGGCCTGTCTGTACGACGGGGGCGGGGGCAACACTTCGTCTGATTCGTCGGTGAACTTGTACATGTCGTGAATGACCTTGGTGATCCTACCCTGGCCAATGTCTGGGGGCTGTCCGGCCGACTTCACGTAATCCTCATCCGAGGGACCCAAAGATTTCCACGGTTTTTGTGGCAGAGAGGTCAAGAGCTCACCTGGAACAAAATCAAAAGTAGGTGGATTCGCTTCCTGTCCCGGAGTAACAAACAAACTGTTTTCCTCCTCACCGGTACTTTTTGATCTTTTCAGGTTACCCGTCTCCTGACTCGCCAGAGTGGCTCCCCTTTGACCTGCCGGGTCAGCTGACCCCAGAGAGGCGGTGGCGGCCGGCGGTAGAGCGGGTTCCGAGCTCAGCCTCTTCCTCGCTTCCCCAGACGTGAGCTGCTTCTCCGCAGTCGGCACGGACGACAAAAGTGAGTTGCTTCGCACCGTGCGCACCTGTTGTCCTGCCTCTGCGCTCTGCGGCGCGGGTTTGAACAACATCCTCGCCAAGAGCGGGTTCTGCGTCGGAACGCGGCTCACGCTACCGCTTGGTGTGTGACCTGGCGACTTCACGCTGGTCGAGCTGGTCGAAAACATCCTAGGAGGACCCGCGACGACCCCACTTGTCGAAGGAGCGACATCTGACAAAACACTTTTCTCTTGGCGCTGCGCCTCAACGTAAGAGGTCAGTTCACCATCCTTCCTTCCGTCGCGCCCAACGTCCACACCGTCCTGTTCCTGGGAAGTAACCGATGACCTTCTGTCCCCAACACTCGACTGTCCTTGAACCATACCCAACTGACCATCAACGACAGAATTCCCGGCCCCAGAGTTTTGCGAGGAGGAGTGACCGACCGACATAATGGCTCTCTTGCTGGTACTTTTCTCTGAACGGTCTGAGGCAGAAGACTGGACATGTCTCAGTTGTGTCTGAGGGCTGGTCATTATCTGTAGTAGCTGAGGTGACCGCAGCTGGAGGTGCTCATCTGTCTGCATTGGTGCATTCTGGGAGTGAGCGGACAATGCCATGGGTGCGTTCTGGGAGTGAGCGGACAACACCATGGGTGTGTTCTGGGAGTGAGTGGACAACGCCATGGGTGCGTTCTGGGAATGAGTGGATAGCGCCATGGGTGCGTTCTGGGAATGAGTGGATAGCGCCATGGGTGCGTTCTGGGAATGAGTGGATAGCGCCATGGGTGCGTTCTGGGAGTGAGCGGACAACGCCACGGGGACATTCTGGGAGTGAGTGGACAGCGGAGCTTGCAGGAGACTGGACAGAGAGCTGCAGGTGGTGGTGGGAGTCTGCAGGAGGAGGGTGGGCAGCTGGAGGGAGGAAGAGGACATCAGAGAGGAGGAGGTGGAGGAGGAGGAGGACAAAGTTACAGAGGAGGAGGATAAAGTTAAAGAGGAGGAAGAAGGGGAGGAGGAGGAAGAGGAAAGTGCAGCAAGACCCCCAGCGTTGGACATCAGGTCTGTAACCCCAGCAGAAGTCTGGAGTCCTGACTGTGGGGTGAAACCAAAGTGGGAGGAGAGCTCTGCTGACGATGTGTTTGTGGTGGGCAGGCCGGCTGATGACACACCTTGTGATGACACCACTCTCGATGTCACATGTCCTGACGACACACCTGCCACAGACACCTGTCCGGACGACACACCTGCCAAAGACACCTGTCCTGACGACACACCTGCCAAAGACACCTGTCCTGACGACACACCTGCTAGAGACACCTGTCCGGATGACACACCTGCCAAAGACACCTGTCCTGACGACACACCTGCCAAAGACACCTGTCCCGATGACAACGCGGCTGGTTTCACCTGTTGCCTCCGCGACCTCTGCTCCCCGTGAGACTTAGCAACGGCGCGCCCGTTCGACATCGGGAAATCTGCCACTTGAGGCTGACCAATCAGCTCCCTCTGCTCGTTGATCTTCCTCCGCACGTACTCCTCCCTCTCCTCGGCCGTCGAGACCTCCAGCTTACTTCTCTTCCCCGCGCTCGACTGTGAGGTACCGGTGCGGGTCTGAGAAACTGACGAGCGGCCTGACCCTGACCTTGAGGCTGAGGAGGGCGCATTCTGCGAGGACAATGACGCAGGAACGACGGTGTTGGACAAGCTCACGTTTGTTCCAGCAGACGACAAACCTGTGGTCTGCAGCATGGTTTCCTCGATGACTTTGGGCAGCATACTGGCTTGTACCACGGGCTGACCAGAAGAAGAATTTCCACGTACGGGTAAAATCTGGGAGGACATCACTGTGCTGCTGCTGCTGCTACCGCTGCTGCTGCTGCTGCTGCTGCTGCTACTGCTGCTGCCTCGGCCGGCCAGAAACGAGTCTAGCGGCACCACGTTGGGTAGCGAAGTGTCGGCCGGTGCGACACCCTGGCACGCCACCTGGTTCAGCTGACCGCCGTCCACTACAAGCTGACCAGCCTTCTGGGGAGTCCAGCACACAGTTGCAACGCTCCCCTGTTTATTCTTGGGGACCTGTGCGCCCAGCAGAGAGGCGGGCAACAGAAGACTTCCGGAAAGTTCCGCCTCACCGAGGCCGGCGGCAGACAACATAACGGTTGTCGGGAGTTGAGACGGAGAGCCGCCGGCGGGTAACATCAAACTGGTCTGGCCACCTGTGACGGGCAGCACTGTCGAGCTGACGAGACCCACTTGCCGCTTACTGACCTTCTGGCGGTCCAGAAGATTCTGCACCGTCTCCGATCGCTTCCTCGGTTTCTTCGTCGTCACTGCACTACTGTCCGTAGCCGGGGAAGGGTTGAGGCGTGCGACAACCGCGCCACAACCAGCCCCGTCACTAGCCACCGTGCCAGTTAGGCTCCCTGTCAGCACACTGTTAGTGGAGATCACAACATTCGGGGACGCAGTCAGAACAGACGCTGGTAAGGCCGGAAAACTGGCGGAAGTCAAAGTGGCGCTGGCAGCAGCGTTCCCGAGGCCGACACCACCAGGGGGCGCCGTAAAAGTTCCGGAGAGCTGAAGAGTTTGTTCCCCTGCCGACACGAGGAGAGCCGGTGTTCCTGACACGAGAGATCCACGTCCGGCCGGGGCAGCCAGATTTTCTGATCTGGGAGAGGAATTCGACAACATCTGGTCTGCGACCACAGACTGCGACACATACGACGGCGGCCGGACTGACTGAGCCAGGAAGGTACCGCCTCCACTGATGGTAGTACAGACGAGCGGACGCGGAGTCGCTTGCGATAACAACGATGCGGGGGGCATCATCATCATTCGCTGCGTAGCTGAACTCGCCGACGAAAACTTTACCCGCGGGGTATGACTCGACTCGGCCTGCGACAGAATGGTGATGTTGGGCGGGCCCACCGCGCCCGTCGGCGTGTGTGCCTGGATGAGGAGAGGTGCCTGGTGGGAGGAGGAGGAGGAAGAGGAAGAACCCATCTCCGAGGTAGCCCTCAAGTGACCGATGGAGCTCCGGGCGGACACAGACTCCAGGATCTGGTGACTGACGGCAGCGGCCGTGCTATTGGCCGACACTGACGTATGAGGGGAGTTCCCCGCCGTCTTGTACACTGCGTCCGAGCCAGACAAGTGAAGAGCGGCCATCTTTGCGCTGTTCGACACTACCCTCGAGGCAGCAGTCGTGTCTCCAGTCAGCCTCGTCCCTGTATCCACGCTCGGCTTCGACACCAATGCACCAGGTGACCTAGACCCTATATTTGTCAACAACCTTGGCATTCCGTCAGCGGAGGACACTGACCGTGAGGCATCTGTCGAGACATCCGTGGATAAGAGCCCCGGCCTGGACTTCCCGCGTGACTGCTGGAACCTCTGATTGGCCGAGATAGTGACCACGGCCGCCCGGGAACACTTCATCTGGCCAAACACCTTTCCCAGGTTGTCCAAGCGGAGGTCGGCCTGACCGGAGGCGCCCGGCGCCAGGCAATCCTTCACGTCCACCAGGCCCTTGCCGCCGGAGGTCAGAGGTCGGGTCTCCAGGTGAACGTCGGGGTTGCCGGCTTGGTGCGCCTCCAGGCAGGAGATGAGCGTGTCGCGGATGTCCTCGGGGAGCTCGTCGGACCCACCGGGGCCAAACACCAGCACGCTGGGCTGTGACATCTGTGACGTCCGTGACTCTCCACTGCCACGGCTGTTGTCTCCCCTGACAGTTGCTGCCGTGGGCTCCTCCGCTATCGGCTCACTACTGCTTGGGACAGATGCCTGTGAAGGTAGTGAGAGCGCAGAAATAGTCGGAGACGCCCCCACATCCACCGCACCGCTTACAATCATCTGCGAGGCTTCACTTTGCTTCGCGTCGGGCCAGGAGATGAAACCTTTCTGCTGCACATTACCCATCTCCAAGACAGGCATCGGATGATTCACATCGCTCCCCAGATTTACTATCGTGACCTGATCATTAGTGAGTCCAGATTCAGCATCAGCCGCCACATTTCCGCCTTGACCGGCCTTCTCACTCACTCCACTCGCTGACCACAGCTGCATCTGCACCGGGACCTGACCTCTACTCGTTTGAACAATATTCTGTGTGACCTTTGAACCTGGCAAGGACAAAAACTGTGGGAGTCGGTGCAAGGCTTGATCAGCCTGTGACTGACTGGCGGCCGGCTGAACCTGGCTGTTGGGCAGTGGAATCTGGTCCTGTGGTGTTTGAGCGGGAACCGTCATCGCCAGAGAGGCCTCGGACGCTGGCGCCAGCCCGCTCTGAAAACTGATCTGCTTCTTGACCTCATCCATGGACAGCACTCTGGGAACTGGGCCGGACGTACTTTGAGGTTTCGTCGAAACGACAGCCGCAACGGATGACGCGCTTCTCTTCGGATCTTTGGTCGTCATCGGTGTTGTGGTCATCATCGCCGTCGAGCCCGTCGTGAAAGTGGCACGTGGTGGGGCCTTGCTTGGCGTGGCGGGGGGGCTGTCCTCTGTGAGGTCGATCACTTCCTTGCTCTGTAGGTACGTGATGGGTTTGTCCTGGGTAGTAGACGTCGTCCTATCACCAGCACCACCCGTGCTAGCGTGTGATGAGCCACCACCACCACCTACCTCCACAGGCTGCCGATGGGACACGTTGACCAGACTCAAACCCTGCACCTCTCGCGGCAGAGCCGGAGCCACCACAAAACTCGGCACGCTGCTGTTGACAACGGCTCCTGGCGCTTGTTGGTCGAGTGAGCTCCCTACGGGCAGTGCTGAGACCAGCGTTATGCCACCCGCGACAGACGAAGCATCCACGGACCCGAGCACGGAACCGGGATTGAACTTTATCCCTAAGGGCAATAACTGCTTCGGGGAAATTGTTGTGGAGACTGTTGCCGGGTCCGCGGAGCTGGAGATTTGTGTCACTGTTTGATTCGATATAAGCTGCTGGCTGCTCAGAACCGCGTTCTGACCTCCACCGCCAGAAGTTTTGCTGACGCTGGAATGACTCGCGGTCACTTGGACACACTCCGAAGAGACATAGACCGTGCCATCTCCCAACAACTGACCACCGTCCACTCCGCCCAGGTTAGGCAAACCCACAGAAGTAGGAGCTGGAACAGCCAGGCCTTGCGAGGTCACAGCGGCACCGTCTGACGCCGACAGTTGAAGCATCGGCAGTTGTGGCAGTTGGCCGGCCCACACTTGATGACCCCCACTCAACGAGGACGGGACGGGTGGGGCGAGGGTGGACGTCAGCCCGGCCTGAGACAAGTTCACTGTCAGCTTGTTGAGGATTCGGTGCTCCTTACCTTCAACTTTGACCTCTTCCGAACCCAAGCTCAGAGAAATTGGGTCAGCAGCTTGCCGTCCATCCCCAGAGAGAGGAATGAGTATTCTACCATCAGCGGTCAACTGCAGCACGGTAGAGTTCAGTAAACCCCCCGGCAACTGTCCAGACCCTGGCTTTTCTATCTGAGAACTGATCGTCACTGCATCCCTGCCAACTGAAAGTTCACTTTGACGCAAGAATTGACTCTTCAACTCCGGGCGTTCTTCAGCAGACGACAGCTTCTTCCCAGAGGACAGTTTCTGCGCTGATGATGACGATGAGGACGACGCTGATTTGGTGGATGATGACCTTTGACCCTGCAAAAGGTTCCCACTCGTGCAGGGGTTTGCGTCACTTTTTGCAGAGAGTGCAACGTTCCCTGACAGACGCAGGGACGCCTGACTTCCAGGAAGTCTCCCAACGACAGACCCCTGCTGCTGCTGCCCTCTGGCGGGAACTTCCCCGGTCTGCGGTTCTCCAATCAGAGCCGTTGTTTCTCCACTCTCGACGCTGTAGGAGAAATGTTGGAGTTGCGACACTGGTGGCAAATCAGATACCACTTTGATGGCTGGGACATTTTGACCTACGAGAGCTCGAGCTGCAGCCGACGCAGGAATCCCGGCAGACGTGCGAACAAAGTCCTGTCCCTTCTTGACTGAAGAGCCCCCAGACACGGTCGTTTGCGCCGATCTGTTTGGTTTGCCGCTTCCTAGGCATGACGTCAAATTGTCAGACGCTGAGCTAATGTTCACCAAAACTCCGGTGGGAACTTTTTTCGCTCCAGAATTTAAAGAAGACAATTTCGGAAGAGACAGCGTTCCCGCTCCTTTCTCGACACCACGGCTCGTGGCAGAAGTAGAAGATGCTATGATGGCGGTCGTAGGGGGAGCGGCGAGTTGTAGCCTCTGCGCAGGGATGAGGTTCGAGTCCAGTGGGGCCACGGCATAGCCCTGCTTGTCCGGGACCAGGATGAAGGTACTGCTGTTGCTGCTGACGCTGTTGCTGCTGCTGTTCTTCTGTATCGCAGTTGTTTGCCGCGGAACGCTCTGAAGCTTCGGTCGAATGGGCCTGTGCTTGCTGGACACCACCGCCAGTCCACCGTGACTCGCTCCGCCAGACGGCGCCGACAAACACGAGGAGAGGACCACCGTGGGGTTGGCGCTGGACGTAGGGGGGCCCCGGCCAGAACTCTTCTGCGGAGGAGACTGGACCGAGATGGTCGCCGGCCCATTTTCATTCTGTAAGAGCTGGACGGTGGGAGACTGGAGCTGACCGGTAGTGACCCGCACCGAGGACTGATGGACCTGGTTCTGGACATTCTGTACCTCCGACTCGACCTGCACAGGAACCAGAGACGGAAGTATCGACTGACCTTGAGCTTCAATAACCTGACCTTGGATCTGCACAGACTGAACGCTGGGCTGGCCCTGGCTCTGAAGGACCTGCAGGTTCGAACCCTCCATCGCGCCAAGGACCTGAACTCCTTCAGGGAACAATCCGGGCAGCGGTTGACCCCCACCAGCGAGACTCTGATCCGAAACGTACTGCACGCCCGCCGCCTGTCCGTTCACCTGCATGACCTTGACCCCAGCCTGAGCCTGACCTTGAAGCATCTGGACGCCAAACTGAGTGCTACCACCACCGCCACAGACGCCAGGTACGGGCACGACAATGGGCTGACCTTGACTTTGCAGGATCTGAAGCGGGACTGCCGAGTTGAGGAGATTGATCAGCTGTGGTTGCTGCCCCTGCTGAGACCCGACCTGCAGCGCCGCCTCGCTTCCGACGGCCGAAGTCTGGAGGGGGAGCATGACCCGAGGGAGGCCCGATCCCGGGCGGATGACCTGCTGGATGCTGGTCACTCCCTGGATGGGCAGCCCGATGGAAGGAACGCTGCTGAGCCCAGGGAAGGAAGCTGGATCTAGCTGAATTATCTGGGGGCCGGAACTCTGTCCTGTCAGTACTTGGCCCACAGACAACAATTGCTGCTGTTGCTGATTTTGCTGTTGTAGCTGTTGCTGATTTTGCTGTTGTAACTGTTGCTGTAGTTGCTGTTGTAGCTGTTGCTGATTTTGCTGTTGTAGCTGTTGCTGTAGTTGCTGCAACTCTTCGTTTTGAGGAAGGATGGTAAATACAGCCTCCGGAGGCAGAGGTTGCTGAGTCTTTCCGTCGACCAACGCCAACCCTGACGTCTCATCCGCGAGAGCGAGAGCTTGTGTTGGGAGCGCCATCGAGCAAACCGGACGTGACGGCACAACATCTGTGTTGTCGACGGCTGGGTTAGCAGACGTCACCACCGTATCCTTTGGCGGAACGTTCACTGCGCACGAACTCTGAGACAGAATAAGCTTCTGTTGTTGCTGTTGCTTGTCTTGTTGCTGCTGTTGTTGGTGCTGCTGTTGTTGTTGGTGTTGTATCTGCTGTTGTTGCTGCTGTTGTTGTTGCTGCTGTTGTTGGTGCTGCTGTTGTTGGTGCTGCTGTTGTTGTTGGTGTTGTATCTGCTGTTGTTGCTGCTGGTGCTGCTGTTGTTGTTGCTGTTGCATCTGCTGTTGCTGCACTGCAGGGATCCCTGTAGTGCTGACCGACGCTCCCAGCAGCTCAGGCAGATTAACCATCGACAACTGCCCGGAGCTGTTCACAAACTGAGCCCTCGTTGCATCCGAAGAAGAAGAAGAAGAAGACTCCTCTGTAGATGAAGACGCTCCTTGTGCCTCAGTAGTCAGAGCAGATCTTTGAGAGGAGACCACCGTCTCCAGGAGCCAGCTCAGGGTCGGCTCGCCGAGACTTTGGTCCAGCGCAGACCGCAGGGCCGGCTGACCCGTGCCCACTACAACCTTCTCCGGAGCCTCGCCCACACCTGCGGCACTGTTGTCCTCAGGAATCTGGACAAGGCCAGAAGCTGAAGAGGAAGACTGTCTTCCACCATTTCTCGCTGCAATCTGAGCAATCCCGGAATTAGGAACTTTGGAGGAATATTCTGTGGCATCTGAAATGAATTGATTTTTCTTCTCGGTTGGCATGTTCGTTTTCGACACACGAATTCCCGATTCGGCTGCATCGCTCGGAATATTTATTTGAGGGCAGGAAGATTGTTCCGAGCCCAAAGTATTCAGACCGAGTGAATCAACGAGCTGTAGCGAAGCGGGGCTGCTGGTCAAGCTAGAGTTTACGACAGAGTTCACGAGGGTCGCGCTCGCATTTGGGAAAAGCTGGTTCGCCAGGTTGGTGTTAAACAAAAACTGCTGACCGTTAATGACCGCTACGGCCGGTAATGAGTTGAGCTGGGGGGAGGCGGTATCGGGTGCTAGGACGAGAGGAACTAGTCTCATGGGACCAGACTTGTCGGTCGCGACCGCACCATCCATGGTCGACCCGCTCGGCGAATTCCCCGGCCGGCTGTTGGACGTTTGGGAACTGACGCTAGATGTTTGGGAATGATGACTGTTGGTCAATGAAGTAAGACTCACGCCCGACACAGACACAACTGTAGCAGAATTCTGACCAGCGATTGTTTCAGCGGAGACTAAACTGTACAAACGGCCTTCTGATGATTTATTTTGAGCGTCGGCTGAAGGCTCTGAGACCACCTGCTGAGGTTGCTGCTGCTGCTGCTGATGCTGTCGTTGTTGTCGTTGTTGTTGCCGGGAATTCTGTTGTTGTTGGTTCATCTTGTTCTGAGAGGGGGGGAGGAGTCCCGCTACCTGCTGCATTCCCAGCCGCGCAGACGTGTCGGAGACCAGTTTCAGGGTGCTGGGGTTCAAGGTCGTGGACTGAGTCAGCGTGATGAAGCCTTGATGAGAACCGTCGGAGCCAAGACTGGACAGAGAGACGCCAGAACCGGAAGCAGCAGCAGCAACACCCACCGCGTTACTACTGCTGCTGCTGAGAGCGCCGTTCGAGTCTTTCGCGGTGGACAACGAGGTGAAGGTCACACCAGTACTGGCGCTACTTCCCGCCACGTGTGGGTGGACGATGCCCACCTGCAGCGGCTCTCGGCTACGATTGTGTCGTCGGTGGTGACCTCCCTTGAGCTGGGAGTGGGTCAAAGACGCGTGCTGGCCGATGGTGAATGTGATGGGAGGGGTGCGCCCCGGGGGACCTCGCGTCGGGTTGGGTGACCTGGCCACAGAGCCGCTGCTGGAGAAGAGGAGGGTCGGGGGGTGAGAGGAGGAGGAGGAGGAGGCTTTGTCGCTCTGAAGCCCGTCCGGAAGAGAGATGACAGATGACACTGACGCAGGGGGTGGCAACAGGTCAGACTGTACAACGGTCGGGGTCACCTGCGAAGTACTGGAGACAGGCGTCACAGAGGTCAAAGTCGGTGCCGATCCTGACCCCGAGGAAGAAACGGCAGACTGTGTCGGCACCTCGACCGGTTTGCTCATCAGCATCTCTGAGAGCAAGGAAGGATAACTCACAATAGGGGTCGGGACAGGGTTGAAGGTCGTGGCTGAGGGAGCGACGACGGAGGAAAACCATTTGACCGGGGAGTCCGCCAAAGCGTCAAATATGACTGCTTGCTCGGGGAGAGATGATGACAATGATGATGGCATTGACGATGATGATGATGATGATGATGATGATGCTAACGCTGAGCATTCCGGCGAGGACAAAAAGGAAGAGGAACTGGAAGCTGTCATGGGTACCGGAGACGCCCAGGTCACCTGTGTCCCAGCTGTCGTGGATTCTGTCAAGGCCACACCAGTCGAGGGACAGGAAGTTGGCGGCCCGGCTAGCAACACGCGAGTGACAGCGGAGGTGCTGGTGTCCTCCGAACACGCGTGCACGCTCCCAATCTGACCACTCTTGGGAAGAGTCGACGTCAATGCTACAGATGCAGCAGCTGGCGTTGAAATCTGGGACAACGGGGACAACGACGATGTGTGGACACCATCAACGTGAGCGGTCACTCGCTGCGGGTCAACTACTGGAAGAGAGTTGCTGGCCATGACTTGACCACTTCTGGAAGAACCTGCAGTCAGTGGGAGCCCGGGCTGTAGATGTGTGTCGTTTTCACTTGCTGCAAAATTTATCTCTCTCTGCACCGCTCCACGTCTTTTCCCACTGTTGGTGAATCCGGGGGTCACAAGCCGAGGGCTGTTCTGTGTCCTTGGCGTACGTAGTTCAGACAAGCCGACACCAGGCGTCGACTTACAAAGATCAAAAACCTGGCCCAGCTGAGGAGCAGAAAAAACCGACAGCACCTCAGAGGTTGTACACGCAACATCCACGGGGGGAGCGTAGTTCTGCGTCCGAGAAGTTACTTCTGAGTTTCTCGAGACCGGCCCGACCCTGGGAGAAATCTGCGCCGGCGCCGACGATTGGGTGGAGAGTATGACGGACGCGAGAGACTGAGGGACCAGCAACCCTCTCACATTCCCCGCGAGGGGCAAGGGGGACAGAACCATCGGAGTTTGAGAGACGGAAGATACGACTTTTGGACTGGCGACTTGTAGAGAGAGACCAGAGCTCGGGCCGAGAACTTGCTGGACGTCGGTCAGACCCTGGACGGGCATCGGTGGAACGCTACTCTGGACACCACACAAAGGCGCTTGGCCATGCAGCTGGACCGTTGACCCAGTTAAGTCCACGGAAGAGATTCTGCTGCCTCCCTGTTGGTGAGATTCTTTGTTAGACACGATGGTTGTGGTGGCATCAAGGACTGAGGATGTCGTGATGGCCACAGAGTCGGAGGGTTTCTGGAGTGGTGTAGTAGCGAGCGACGACGTTGAGGTTGTTGGTTTAGGCGTCCTCTTGACGTGAGCAGCAGGCGGGGGTTCCTGGTTCGAACTCATGTCTTTCAGAGCTTGTTGCACTTGAGACAGTTCTGTGCAGCATTGCTGGAGTCTTGCCAGTTTCTGCAGAGACAGACAGGTAGGGAAGAGTTGAATATTGTGTGACATCGCTGTGAAATGTTGGGTAGAGTTTATAAATGTGTGACATCGCTGTGAAATGTTGGGTAGAGTTTATAAATGTGTGACATCACTGTGAAATGTTGAGTAGAGTTTATAAATGCGTGACATCACTGTGAAATGTTGAGAAGAGTTTATAATTGTGTGACATCACTGTGAAATGTTGAGCAGAGTTTATAAATGTGTGACATCACTGTGAAATGTTGGGTAGAGTTTATAATTGTGTGACATCCCTGTGAAATGTTGTTATAATTATTCAAGATAGACGAGTATTTTTTTCATCATAGTGCTTGTTACTCTCTTTTAACACCTCTAATCTTCGGCACTTATATGACCTAATTGCGTTGCAAATGCTGTAAAACTTACTAAAATCAAATTAAGCTCGGAATGATAACCGTTACCGTTACCTTTACAGTATGACCGTGAAAATAACAGAAATAATTGGAAATAATTGGAAAAACGGAGGCCCTGTTACCCTTTCCCAAGAGACACCGGTAAACCAGAAAAATTAAAGAAAAAACCCCCAGAAGGTATACATTCCCTAGCGAGAACCGAACTCACACCTTCAAAGAGCAACAGCGTGGTTACTTTCCCTTACACCAAAGACACTCTGTGCCACCTCTTTCCAAAGAGGAAATTTACTCGTTAATCCGATCCGTACGCTTTGCATAGAGGTCTGTCAAAATGATTTTTTAAGAAATACAGAAAGTTTCAAAGAGATCTTCGTACTAGAAGTATTCTAAAATATGAAGAATACAACCCCGGGGGTACAAAATGACCCCAGGGTGTATGGATAGGTTTAATGTACGAGTCCGTAATGTGCTATTTTGAAAAAGTGACGATTGCCAAAGTCTTCCACTGAGCGGTCAGTTTGTGTTACAAGTGCCGTAAAACTAGTGGCCTCGGTGGTCTAGTGGTTAGGCTACCGGACTCTTAATCGTGAGGTTGCGGGTTCGGGGGTTCGAGCCTTTGGCCCGACGTTATGTCCTTGGGAAAGGCACTTTACATGAATTTTCCTCACTTCACATAGGTGGGAATGGGTACCCGGCTATAAACAGTGAAAGATCTTTTCAGTATGTTAGTGTTTTAGCGCCTATAAATGGCTGCTTGCGCTGTATGCTTCCCAGGAAGTTGAGGTTGTTTCAGAATGCTCTCAGGTCTGTTGGGGTAATAGTATAGATTGTGAAGCGCATAGAGTTTGCTGTTCAGTAGGGATTTGTGCTATACAAAAGCTATCTATTATTAAATTTGTACACTCAGACCAAGACGCGGACATGTCGGCGGGTGACATCCCCCCCCACTCACCTCTGCCGACAACCCTCCCCCCACCCTCCCCATCACTCACCTCCGGCAGGTTCTGACTGAGAATCTTGATCTCCTCCTGGAGCTCCGAACCGCGACGCTGCAGCTCCAACATCTTCCTTCGCCTCTCCCCCTCCTCCTCCTCCACGCGTCTCTTCACTGCCTCCTTCTCCTCCTCCTCCACTCTTCTTTTCTCCTCCACCTCTTCCTCTCTCACTCGTCTTTTCTCCACTTCCTGCGGTGGTCTCACTTCAGCAGGCGTAGCCTCCTCTGGGCCGGCACACTTGACCTTTGACATCTGAGGAGGACAAGAAACTGAACTGAAAATAGTGTCTTATGATGTTTCAGTAAGAGTTTTACGGCACTTGCAACTCAATAACATCTTATAAGTGGCGAAGATTAGAGGTGTTACAAATGAGTAACCTACACAAAAAAGAAGGAGGGGAGATAAACATGATAGATGTTTGATGGGAAAGAAGAAGCAAACCAAACCAGAGCACCCGCCAACCACCCCCCGTGTCTCATGAAACACACAACAATACACACAAACAACCTGAAAGATTTCATATTTATAAATTATGTACCATAATAGCCCATTGTTTTCCCTTCTATTTGAGCAAACTCTCTTAATCAAAAGTTCGGTAAGACGGAAGAAAATCCAGAAGTACCCCAGATTTCACTTCAACACTTACAGTACCGCAGGGTCATATGTGAGGCAGCGTGGTGGAATCAGGCTCTCGTCAATTTTTGGGCATATAGAGTTATTGGTATCATCTTAAAGCTTGTTCACTTGTCTTTATTTGGATGAAAAAAATATCCATTTATCTTGAATTAAAGTCGAGATATTCGCGAAAGAAGGAGAGGGGGGTCACTTGTTTTCAGAGGTAAAATTAGTGAGAAAATGGTCGCCAAAGATTAGTTATTTCCTTAGCTTAAGAGTCCCTGGTAACTGAAAATTTACATTTTTTGTGTCTTTAAGCAACGTTTTTCCCGAAAAATCCCGGCAGAAATGAGTTCTTTAATGGACATGAAAGGTGTTGAGCCAAAAAACAAAAATTTGATAAAAATTCACAAATCTGCGGAAAAATGCAAGTTTCTTCACATTGATTATTTTGACGAGAGCCTGATTCCACCACGCTGCCTCACATATAGTGAAAAACTGTTGAGTACCGCACCGATTTAGAAGCCAACAAAATAATGAGGGTACCTTATAAAAAAATTCATTGAAAAAAAAGTCGTTGACAGAGTTACATTTCCGGCTCAAGCTTCCCATCAGGGCGACTGGCCTGGATCTTGTGCAATTGGCACAGCGGGACATAGCTATCACAGAGAGTAATTTCCTTTGATATTTACTTCCATGGAGAAGTTCCGTTCGTTGTTTAGAGTGCCTGGTCGAGTCGGCGACAGAAGTTGCCAGCGGTACTGAGCGGAAATTACAGGCTGGTGACTTACGTCGCGACAGTACTGTAAGTGTTAAGAGGAATCCACAGCATGAATCTATTAAATGTGAGGCAGCGTGGTGGAATCAGGCTCTCGTCAAAATAATCAAAGTGAAGAAACTTGCATTTTTCCGCAGGTTTGTGAATTTTTATAAAATTTTTTTTTTTTGGCTCAACACCTTTCATGCCCATTAAAGAACTTATTTCTGTGTGAATTTTTCTGAAAAACATTGATTTTTGGCACAAAAAATGTAAATTTTCAATTACCACGTACTCTTAAGCTAAGGAGTTAACTGAAAACAAGTGACCCCACCTCATTTTTTCTCAAATATCTCGAATTGTATTCAAGATAAATGGATATATTTTCATCCAAATAAAGACAAGTGAACAAGCTTTTAGATGATACCAATAACTCTACACGCCCAAAAATTGACGAGAGCCTGATTCCACCACCCTGCCTCACATATTATAGAAACTGTTAATTCCATTGAAACTTATTGATAGCTACTTTTTGGCAATTGCCGAACGTGAATTCTGCAGGAACTTAAAGCGAACACGTATCTTGCAGAAACCTGTCGCGAACGCGAATTACTGAATAAACTTACCATAGACCAGGGGGCGACCCCCGCGGGGCTCGTCGTACCTCCGACCGCAGAGTTCACAAACACCGAGGGGGGCGGAGCCTGGCACAGCACCAACATGGGGGCGCTGGCGCTCGTCGAACCGGGCACGGGGCCGCCGGCCGGAGCAGCCTGGAGGAGGACCAGAGGCGAGGTCAAGGTCATGCCGGCCGGGCCACCGGCCAGAGAGGCGCCTCTCGGCGACATGTGAACGGGCGTAGCCACCGCTGTCTGAGACAGGCGGACTTTTTTCACCGCTGGCTGCACGCTGCTCACACCTGAGAGAGAGAGAGAGAGAGAGAGAGAGAAAAACTCACACATTGTGTCATGATCAGGTGGAATCAGGGGGGAAAAGCCAGGTACACAGAAGGAAACAACAGCACAGGGAATAGAGAGAAGAAGGAACTACCAGAGGTGCCTTCCAACCACACTTCTCTTCACTCATTGGGTTTTTTTTTTGGTAAGAGTTTTACGGCACTTGCAACACAATAAGGTCATATAGGAGCCGAAGATTAGAGGTGTTACAAGACAGTAACATTAACAAAAAAGAAAGAGGAGAGATAGAGACGATAGATGTTTGACAGGAAAGAAGGAGCAAACCACAGCAGAGCACCCGCCAACCACCCACGTCAGTTTTTGAACATGTGGAGTTATTGGCATCATCATAAAGTTTGTTTATTAGTCTTGCTTTCGGTGAAAAAAGTACTCAACTATCACGGACAGAAGTTGTGATATTTACGATTGAAGGAGGTGGGGGTCACCTGGTTTCAGAGGTAAAATTAGCGAAGTCACAAGAGAGTGACAAATATACAAAAGAAGTAGAGGAAAAATGACAATAGTAAGGATAAGGAAAGAAAAAGCAGCAGTTCCCTGTATGCACTCCAGGCACAGTCATGAGCATGACATTGATGAATGAGCCCATTTACGATTCTACAGTGCATAAGAGCATGTCAATATCCCCCCTTTTGGAAAGGCCTAAAGACATTTCAGTCAGTAGCACCGCCCTGGGGGAGGGGGGGGGGGGGGAGAGCAAACCTGCACTTATCACTCCATGGCACTGAACAGAGTGCAAGGGCCCAGCTGTTGCTGGATCGATAACAACAACAACAACAACAACACCAACTTGAGTCCCACAAGCTCAAACGACCTAACTGCAGCTGTGAGAACTGTAAATCTTTTCTTTTTTTTTTTTTGTTGAGGTTTTGCGGCGCTCGCAACTGCATAAGGTCATATGAGCGCCAAAAGGTGGATGTCAACAGAGAAGTCTTTACTGGGAATCAGACTTACTCTGCTCACCTCTCTAGCTTCAACAGCACAAAGTCTGCTTCGACTATCAAGGCACCCCGGACATAGCGGGTCACAAGAGTGTGACAAACATACAAAAGAAGTAGAGAAAAATGACAATAGTAAAGAAAAGTAAAGAAAAAGCAGCAGTTCCCTGTTGTAGATCAGGCACAGTTATGAGCGTGACATTACTAGATCAGCCCATTTACAATTCTACTGTGAATGAACGAGAAATGTCCCCCCTTTGGGAATGGGCTAAAGACACTTCAGTCAGTGGCACCGGCCCGGGGGATTGTAAATCTCTTACCAAACCGACCACATCATCTCCACCATCAACAACAACCCACCTTTCGTCGCCCGCAACGCGATCGTTCCTCCTTTCTTCTTCTTCTCCTCCACCTCGCCATCCCGACGTGTTCCCGCCTGCGTGTGTTGACCTCGCGCCAGCATGGCCTGGCCGTACACCTTCCGCACCGTGCTGCTACAGGAGCCCGTCACCATGGAGACGAACTTGAAGCAGTAACCTCCCCTGCCAACTGGCCACACCACCATAATCAGGACAAGGATAGCAAGAATGAAAACACTGCTACAAATAATGATAATAATAATTATAATAATCATGATTATAATAATGATAACACTAAAATGCGTTTTAAATAATAATGATGATAATAATAATGCTAATAAAAAAGCTAATAATAATAATATTAATAATGATAACACTAAAATGTGTTTTAAAAAATCTTTTAGTTCTGTTTTAGGATAACAGTTTTACGGCACTTGCAACACAATAATGTCATAGAAGTACCGAGGATTAGAGGTGTTACAAGAGAGTAACAAACACAAAAAAGAAGGAGGAGAGATAAGGACCTTAGATGTATGATAGGAAAGAATGAGCAAACCACAAATCATTACAATGACAGCAAGAATGATAACATTGCTACTAATAATAATGATGCTAATAATAATTATAATAATAATAATGATGATAACACTAAAATGTGTTTTTAAATGGCCGTAACAGCTGTTGAGCCAAAAAAAACCCCAAAAATTTGATAAAAATTTCCAAATCAGCAGAAAAGACAAAAAAGCCGTTTTCTTCCATTTCATTATTTGGACGAGCACCTGATCTCACCACGCTGCCTCACAACTGTTGAAGTTTTCACATTTTTGAACATGGAAATGGGGCGGAAGGTAAACATTCAAAGACAACTGGATTAACAACAACAACAACAACAACAACAACAACAACAACAACAACAACAACAACAACAACAACAACAACAACAACAACAACAACAACAACAACAGGTGTTCATATACCGACAAGGTTCTTCTCTTCTTTTTGCTTCATTAAATCTAAAAAGGACAAAATTGGAAGAACGAGCCCTTCCCAGGAAGACAATGTCACAGGCACCCACCTGGATGTAACACATTACAAATGACATCCAGCAGTAACACGACCACAAACGTGCACAACAAACAAAACACAAGAACAAAACAAAACCAAAAAACCAAAAAGCAGAAGCAGGTTCCCACCTTTTCGAGTCAACATCTCGGCGAGGACCTTCGACGCCTCCTTCTGCCCTTTGCCAGCATTCTCTCTCCACAAGCTCAGCTGTTCCGCTTTGGTTTTAGCTGCCTGAACAAGAGATTGGATTGTTTTATTCATACCAACATTATGTTATCAGTGCCAGACCTGGACCTTAAGCAAAACCCATGAAAGCAAAATCACCGCATGCGAAATGAAATGTCTCCGCAAAACCCTTAACATCACAAGACGAGACAGGCAGAAACATGAAGAAGTAAGAGCAGCTATCGGCTCTGAGTCCTGCCTGCCTTACATAGAAAGACAGAGGATAAAATGGTTTGGCCACCTGTTACGCATGTCACCTGGCCAGCCAGCCTTGAGAGCCAACAACACCAATCACTCAGGCTATAAAGGAAGAGGAAGGCCACGCAAAAGGTGGATCGAGGGTGTCAAGGAAACCCTAAGAAAACAGAACATCACAACTGAAAGAGCTACGGAGCTGGCCTACCATAGAAAACTGCATCTCCCCTCGACGCTTAACGGCAACAGAGGAGGAAAAAGGAAAAGTAAGTAAGTGAAAGTTTTACTGCAGTGGAACCTACAAGGAGCAAGAGACAGGGGTAGGCCAGGGTAAACACGGAGGAGAGAGAGAGAGAGAAACAGAAAGAGAAAGAGAAAGAGAGAGAGAGAGAGAGAGAGAGAGAGAGAGAGAGAGAGAAAGAGAAAGAGAAAGAGAGAGAGAGAGAAAGAGAAAGAGAAAAAGGGAGAGAGAGAGATCAGAAAAAAACCCAACCCCATTGAGACCAACAAAGAAGAAAGCGTTGTTGAAGTGGAGCCTACCTCGACACAAGCCAGGCTGCAGCACGTCAGTTTGGACAGTTCATGGATGGGCTGGAGAAGACCCAGGGCGGCTTTCCCTTTGGTTCTCTGAATACGCATCGGGTCCTGGGGCAGCAGAAAGAATCATAATAATCTTGTCAGTCTGTTAGTGTCTTTTTACCTGGCCATAGACAGTGAAAGATGGTGTCAGTTCGTTAGTGTTTTAACGCCTATGAATGGCTGCTTGCACTGTATGCTTCCTAGGAAGTTGAGGTTGTTTCAGAATGTTCTCAGCTCTGCTTGGGTAACAGTAGAGATTGTGAAGCGCATAGAGCTTGCTGTTGAGCGGGGATTTGCGCTCTACAAAAAATAATACAATTTATTATTATTATTATTATAATTACTATTATTATAACAGATTTTAGTTTTAATTTTAGTAACCGTTTTACGGCACCTGCAACACAAATAGTCATAGAAGTGCCAAAGATTTAGTTTAGTAGAGGTTTTACGGCGCTCGCAACTGCATAAGGTCATATGACCACCAGAAGATTAGAGGTGTTACAAGAGAGTAACAAACATAAAAAAGAAGGAGGGGAGAAAAGGACGATAGATGTTTGGTAGGAAAGAAGGAGCAAACAACACCAAAGCACCCGCCAACCACCCACAATTCATAAAAAAACTAGAATATTTTTTTTCTTAACGTGGACAAAGGAAAACGACCAAGCTGTAAGTGTGGGGGGGCACGCACCTTGGCAGTGGTTCCGCAACAGTAACAGCAACTACAACAACAACAACAACAGCAACAACAACAACAACAACAGGAACAACAGGAACAACAACAACAACAACAACAACAACAACAACAACAGCAACAACAACAACAACATACCTTGGCAGTGGTTCCGCAACAGCAACAACAGGAACAACAACAACAACAACAACAACAACAACAGCAACAGCAACAGCAACAGCGACAACAACAACAACAACGTACCTTGGCGGTGGTTCCGCAACAGAAACAACAACAACAACAACAACAACTACAACAACAACAACAACAACTACAACAACAGCAACAGCAACAACAACAACAACTACAACAACAACAACAACGTACCTTGGCAGTGGTTCCGCGACGGTGCAGGAAGTTGTTGGAGTAGCAGAGCACCTTGTGGCAGCCGCGCTCGCACAGACCCAGCTTCTTGAGCCGCACGCGATGTCGCAGGACGAACTCCTCGAACGGCTGCTTCCCCGCCACGCCCCCATCACCCGCCACGCCCCCACCACCTGCCACGTCCCCACCACCCGCCACGCCCCCACCACCTGCCACGCCCCCACCACTCGCCGTGCCATCAACCGTTACAGTCTTCTTGGACCTGCGACAGGGAGAGAGATTTTGTTTTAGTAAGAGTTTTACAGCACTCGCAACACAATAAGGTCAAAAAGTGCTCAAAGATTAGAGGTGTCACAAGAGAGGAACAAACACAAAAACAAAGGAGGGGAGATAAAGAAGATTTTTTTTAATAGGAAAGAAGGAGCAAACCACACCAGAGCACCCGTCAAGCACCCTCAGGGAGAGAGAGACAGAAGCAGAAAACAGAATTTCCGTAGAAATACTCTGGGCCAAAATACATCCAGATACTATCAAAGTAAGCACAGCACTTTCACAATTCTACTGAGACTGAGATCAGATTTAACACCATACACCAAGTAAAAGCCGAAGCATTTTCCGAAAATGTCAGAGATCGAAACACATGCATCTTCTTAGTTTTAGTAACAGTTTTCCGGCACTTGCAAAATAATGAGGTCGTATAAGTGCTGAAGACTAGAGGTGTTACAAGAGAGGAACAAACACAAAAAAGAAGGAGGAGAGATCAGGACGATAGATGTTTGATACGAAAGAAGGAGCAAACAACACCAAAGTACCCGCCAACCACCCACAACAGCAAAAAGCAACAACAGCAGAAGAAACAAACAAATAACCCGGTAACCCTATCCGTACGTCTGGGGTGATTTCGTACCCCCGGGGTTGTGTTCTTCACATTTTAAAATACTTCCAGTACAAAGATCTCTTTGAAACTTTCAGTATTTCTCAAAAAAATCATTTTGACAGACTGCTATGCAAAGCATACGGATCGGATTAACGAGTAAATTTCCTCTTTGGAAAGTGGGGGCACAGAGTTTCCCACTTCGTATGGATACGATAGTAAAACACGACGTACAGATAGGGTTAAGTGGTGGCACAGAGTTCCCCACGTCGTATGGATACGACAGTAAAACACGACAAACAGATAGGGTTAAGTGGTGGCACAGAGTTCGTCACGTCGTATGGATGTGATAGTAAAACACGACATACAGATAGGGTTAAGTGGTGGCACAGAGTTCCCCACGTCGTATGGATACGACAGTAAAACACGACATACAGAGAGGGATAAGTGGTGGCAAAGAGTTCGTCACGTTGTATGGATACGATAGTATTACACAATGCACGGATAGGGTTAAAGAAACCAAACTCACTTGTCTTTCTCTTCAGCCTTCTTGGCGCGCGACTCCTTCAGTAGAGACAGCAAGAACTTGGCCCTCTGTGCCCGGTCCGCTTTCTCGTCAGGGGCGGGAGGCCCCACGTCTTCTTCCGGCTCAGCCTGGCACCGGGTAAAACAGATTTAGTTGTTTTTTGTTCTATGTTTGTTTTAGTAAGGTTTTACGGCGCTCGCCACTGCATACGGTCATATTATGTGAGTCACGACGCAGTGGAATCAGGCGCTCATCAATTTTTAGGCATATGGAGTTATTGGTATCATCTTCAACGTTGTTCATTCGCCTTGCTTTCTGGGAAAAAAATATCCATTTATCTTAAATGGACGTCGAGATATTTGAGATTGAAGGAGGTGGGGGTCGCCTGGTTTCAGAAGTAAAATAAGCGAGAAAATGGCCGCCAAAGTTTGGTGACTTCCATAGCTTAAGAGTCCTTAGAAACTGCAAATTTACATTTTTTGTGCCTTTAATCATAGTTTTTTGGATAAATTTGACACATAAAAGAGTTTTTGAATGGACATAAAAGGTGTTGAGGCAAAAAAACAAAATTTGAAAAATTTTTCCAAACAGACAGAAAAATGCAAATTTCTCGGAATTCATTATTTTGACGAGCGCCTGATTTCACCACGGTGCCTCACATATTTCTTTTAGTTAGGCTTTACGGTGCTCGCAACTGCATAAAGTACTATGTTTGTTTTAGTAATGTTTTACCGCGCTCGCAACTGCACAAGGCCATATGAGCGCCAAGGAGTGGATGTCAACAGAGAATGAGAAATCAGACTTACTCTGCTCACCTCTCTAGCCTCAACAGCACAAAGTCTGCTTCGACTATCAAGGCACCCGTGGAATAGCAGTTCAAAAAAGTGTGACAAACAAAAGAAAAGTAGAGGAAAATGACGATAGTAAGGATGAGGAAAGAAAAAGCAACAGTTCCCCCTATGTTGTTCTAGTAGAGTATGAGCATGACATTGATAAATCAGCCCGTTTACAATTCTACAGTGCATAAGAACATGTTAATATCCCCTCTTTGGGAATGGCCTAAAGACAACTTCAGTCAGTAGCACTGCCCCGAGAGGAGATTATTTATTCTAGTGGGAGTATAGTTTTAGTAAGAATTTTACGGCACTTGCAACACAATAAGGTCATATAAGAGCCAAAGATTAGATGTGTTACAAGAGAGTAACAAACACAAAAAAGAAGGAGGGGAGATCAGGACGATACACGTTCGATAGGAAAGAAAGAGCAAACACCACCAGAGCAACCGCCAACCATCCGCTCGAAAATTCTGGATTGCCGCATGCATTAGTGACAGTCCCCTGTCAATTCAGGATCGTTTGCTTCGCTGGAGCTACAAAGTTGTTTCTGCTCAGTACCCAGTTTTGAGAAATCTGACTTCAACATTTTTTAGTTTCACAAAATGTCCCAGTTTTTCAAATGCAAGTCTTTGAATATCTTGATAACGACTCCGAATAATCTTACTGTTTTGAAAGAACTCCGAATAATCTTACTGTTTTGAAAGAGCAAATAGAACATAAACTGGTCTCTGACTTCGTGGTCTTAGTAACTCATAACCGCCATAAAATGTCAGACAGAGACAGAACTTTGTACACAATTCTGAGGGAGGGAACTCGCGACCTCCGTGCTTTCTTGTCCTATCTCCATTTTTTTTTTTTAACATTGAAAATGTGATTTCTTCTTCAGCTCACTCTTTGTTAGGAACTATTTTCACCGTTATTAAAAATGGAGAGAGGATGGGACCAGAAAGCACTGAGGTTGTGGCAGCGCACCACCGCGCCGTCAAGCCTGCACCAGACGACGAGACCGGAGGTGCCACCACTGACCTTGTCTGACGTCTTGCTGTCACCGCTGGCGACACTAGCCACATTGGGGACACAGAGGCGGGGCTTCTTCTTGCTGAGCAAACCCGAGATGAAGTTCTGTATACAGCCACAGGGCGACGCTTGGTAGGAGGAACAGAACAGGCGCTTGGCTGCGTGGGGAAACAAAAACAATAATAAGTGAAAATAAGTAATAATAACAGTTAACAATATAACAATAGTAATAATAATAATAATATAATAATAAAAGTAATAATAATAATAAGAAGAAGAAGAAGAAGAATACTGTTGACAATAATAATAATAATAGTAATAATGACAACAATAATAATGATAAACAAAAAATAACAATAAATAATAACAATAATGTTGTTAATAATAATATTCATAATGACGATGATAACAATAACAATAATAATAATAATAATAATAATAGTAATAATAATAATAATAATATGAATAATAAGAGATGTAGAAAGAGGGGGATGATGGCCATGACTTTGGACACTTTTACTAAAGAATAATAAAACGTAAAAAAATATCATAATCATCGACCTAAAAATGTCAAACACCATCGTCATCATCATCCGCCTCTTCTACCCTGATGACACCATAATGCACCATCATATTTATCAAATCTGTTAAGAATGTACATTCCAACTCGTTGAATACCAAGGCCCCAAGATCTGGAATGCTTTACCAAGTACTTTGAGAGAGATCAAATCTTCTGATTCATTCAAATGTCAGCTGAAGTCGTTTCTGTTTTTAAATTAATAAGATGAATATTTGGAATAATTTTCTTTAGTCAGAACAAAACGTTTTATGTTACTGTTGTACGTTGTACTGTATTGTAAAGCGCTCGGAGCCTGTGTACTTTATTCGGCGTTGAGGGCTATATAAACGTCATTTATTATTATTATGACACAACCAAAACACAACTGACCATCATTGTCCTTGAGGTAGGTGGCCAGGTGTTCGGCAAACTGTCTGCCCTTCTCCTCAAACCGGCTCCGCTCTTCCGCACTGGGCCGCTTCGGCTCTGACTGTTCAATGGCGTGGGCTGTGGAGGGAAGGAGAAGGCCAGTACAGGAGGGGAGAAGCATATACACTAGACAGCAGTCATTTTTAGTTTAAGTAAGGTTTTACGGTGCTCAAGACTGCATAAGGTCATATGAGCGCCAAGGGGTGAATGTCAACAGAGAAGTTTAGTTAGTTTTAGTAGAAGTTTTACGGCACTCGCAACTGCATAAGGTCATTTGAGCGCCAGAAGATTAAAACACTAAAACACTAAAAGTAAAAGTAGTAAAGTAATTACAAGTGGGTCATTCTTGCAGGTAACCCGCGTCCACTCACCACATCGGAAGCACACAGTCAGGATACGTCCATCCTTCTCCTTCAGCACGGGCTTGGTCAAGGTCTTGAAGCGACTGGCCGGTCCTTTCTTGGACACGTTGTTGAGGTAGGGGCTGGCGCACAGGCTACAGCTGAACGGCTGGCCTAGAGAGGACAGTCAGAGAGTTTAGTTTAGTTTTAGTACGTGTTTTTTTTTTTTTTTAGTAAGGGTTTTATGGTGCTCGCAACTGCATAAGGTCATATGAGCGCCAGAAGATTAGAGGTGTTACAAGAGAGTAACAAACATAAAAAGGAAGAAGGGGAGAAAAGACGATAGATGTTCGATAGTAAAGAAGGAGCAAACCACACCAGAGCACCCACCAACCACCCACGTACGAGTTTTATGGCGCTCAGAACACAATAAGGTCATATAAGTGCCGAAGATTAGAGATAAGTTTCAGTAGAGCTTATTATGACGCTCATAACTGCCTAAGGTCATATGAGCGCCAAGGGGTGGATGTCAATAGAGAAGTACAAACGGGGAATCAGGCTTATGTCACTAAAATCGGTCACTTAATTTTTTAAAAGTGAATCTATTTCGATAATTCGTCATAATATAAATGAAATGGCGCACAGACTACAGCTGAACGGCTGGCCTGGAGCGGACAGTCAGAAAGGCACCGCACCACAGTGACACAGAAATCAGATTTTTAGATTTAATAAGTGTTTTACAGCACTTGCAACACAATAAGGTCAAATAAGTGCCGAAGATTAGAGGTGTTACAAGAGAGAGTAACAAACACAAGATAGAAGGAGGAGAGATAAGGACCTTAGATGTTTGATAAGAAAGAAGAAGCGAACCACACCAGAGCAACCGCCAACCGCCCACACAGAAAACAACAGCACCACACCACAGTGACACAGACGACAATCTAAGTAACCCTTTATCTCCGACAATCTAATTAACCCTTTATCCTCGACAATCTAATTAACCCTTTATCTCCGAGGAGCGTAAACCCACTATACCGCCGGGACTTTTGGTACAAAAATCTAACATTGACAAATACATCACTAAATTCATCATTAAATCATAAGACGTGAACCTAGTTCGATAATTCTTCATCTAATGCATGCAATCCCTGTAAAAAAGAGACATGTTTTCGGCAATTGTCGACAAGAAATTTGATGTCATAGTCATCCTAAAGGAATGTGTCCGGGCCGCTGCCAACGTCTCACCGGCACAGGCGTGAGAAGTGGATGCTGTGTTGGACTGATAGACAATAGAGTAGGTTCGACCATACTTATACACAGTGTAGTAAAGTGTTGAATAAAGGAGCTGGATTTATTTACTGAGAATTGACTAAAATAATTCCAACTCGAGAGAATCCCCTCTATAATTTCTAGAGTTTTTATTAAGTTTTAGTAAGAGTTTTACGGCACTTCCAACACAATAACGTCAAATAAGTGCAGAAGATTAGGTGTTACAAGAGAGTAACAAACATAAAAAGAAAAAGAGATAAGGACGATAGATGTTTGGTAGGAAAGAAGGAGCAAACCACACCAGAACACCCACCAACCACCCACATTTCTTGAGAAGCTATACGGGCCAACTAAGAAACTGGACAGGACAGACGGTCCAGTATATGCCACAAACTGGACTTCATGTGGGATGCGATCGAGAATAAGAAGAAAAAGAGAACCCCCCCCACCCTTTCCCCCCAAAACAACAGACAGTGGCAATAGAGACGGGTGACATAACCAAAGAGGCACCTCAGTCCTGCCCTCACCGTTTGACAAGATGTCCCTCTTCCGCGCCTTCGTCTTACAAGCTTTCTTCTTGCTCGGAGCGTCTGTATCCTCGTCGAGCTCTTCCAGATCGGCACTGTCCAGGGCCCGTTTGGTCTTCTTGACTGTGCGAGAACTTCTCCGTGTGGCCTGGACCTCGCTGTCATCCTGGCGATTAAACGGGAAATCAGCACGCCTGTTTTTGTTGTTTTAGTAGAGGTTTTACAGCGCTCGCCACTGCATAAGGTCATATGAGCGCCAAGAGGTGGATGTCAACAGAGAAGTCTAAACGGTGAATCAGACTTACTCTGCTCACCTCTCTAGTCTCAACAGCACAAAATCTGCTTCGACTATCAAGGCACCCCAGAATAGCAGTTTACAAGAGAGTGACAAATATATGAAAAAAGTAGAGGAAAAATGACGACAGGGATGACTAAAGAAAAAGCAGCAATTCCCCGTAGGTAGTTCCGGCACAGTATTAGCATAACATTGAAGAATCAGCCCATTTACAATTCTACTGTGCATAAGAACATGTTAATATCCCCCCTTTGGGAATGGCCTAAAGACACTTCAGTCAGTGGCATTGCCTTGAGGTGGGGGGGGGGGGGGGAGACACGTGAAATCAGTAAGTCTGTTTCAAATGAAAAAGTAGAAACAAATTGCGTTGCGCCGCGTTGGAATCAGGCAAATTTCATACTCTTTATATATATATATATATATCTAATTATAAATTTAAATTGGCTTCATCTTTCTCCATTACTCCGAATACCAACATTCTTCTTGTTTTCCCTGAATTCTTGTATTTGAGGGCTTAGACAATCACGAATATGGGAAGACAAAAAGTCTAGAGTCAATTCCAAATGTTATCAAAATCAGGACTTTAGACTGGTACAGGATAAAATCGGTACTGATCATGACAGTATTTTCACAGAATGTTGACGACAGAAAATTAGTACTCTTTAAGTTTTAGTTTTAGAAAGAGTTTTACTGCACTTGCAACACAATTAGGTCATATAAGCGCCGAAGATTAGAGGTGTTACAAGAGAGTAACAAACACAAATAAGGAGGGGAGATAGAGACGATAGATTTTTTTATAGGAAAGAAGGAGCAAACCACACCAGAGCACCCGCCAACCACCAACAAAATTAGTACTCAGTATGTCGTTAATAAGACTGTTGTATAACAAAAACACATGTTCACATGTATGTACGCAGGGTAATATTAATATACACCTCCAAACACTCTTGCCCACTTGTTTGGTTTTTTTAAATCAAAGAGAAGAACAGTAACTCTGTCAAAATGCTCATGGAGTGCAGGGGGGCAAAAGCCAGGTACACAGAAGGAAACAACAGCACAGGGAAGAGAGAGAAGTAGGAACTACCAGAGGTGCCTTCCAACCACACTTCTCTTCACTCATTGTTTTTTTTTTTCCGTAGGAGTTTTACGGCACTTGCAACACAATAAGGTCATATAGGTGCCGAAGATTAAAGGTGTTACAAGAGAGTAACAAACACCAAAAAAAAGGAGGGGATATAAAACAACAGATGTTTGAAAGGAAAGAAGAAGCAAACCACACCCCAGCACCCACCAACCACTCACTCTTCACTCATGTCCACTGCTAAATTTAAAAAATAATTTTTAAGTAAAAAAAAACACCACAAAAAAAGTGAATTCCCACACACCAGATGTGTTGTTACTGTTCAAACGTCAACAAAACAAATCGATTACCCAAAATTATCTAACAATCCTGAAAAAAAAGAAGAAAATTCAGCGTACTTTTGCAGAGCTAGTCTTTTGCCTGCGGTCCGATTTCACTTTAAAAACTTTCTGAGATGACGAGGAAGCAGCAGGCGCAGACTGCTCCACCCCAGCAGACGTCTCGGAGAACTGACCGAGGGAGCCATTCTCTGCCATCTGTTCTGCCTGTTACAAGAGAAAATAAAAAACCAAAAAATAATAATAATAAATAGCATTTGTATAGCGCATGTCCCAACTCGAAAGCAAGCTCTATGCGCTTTACACTATATTACTACCCCAGCAGACCATAGAACACTCAGAAACATTCTCAGCTTCCCGGGAAGCATTCAGTGCAAGCAGCTGATTAAGCGCTCAAACACTAACAAACTGACAAGATCTTTCACTGTCTACAGCTGAGTGTACCCGTTCCCACATGGGTGAAGTGAGGAAAATTCGGGTAAAGTGCCTTTCCCAAGGACACAACGTCGGGCCCATAGCTCAAACCCCCGAACCCGCAACCTCAGGATTACAAGCCCGGTAGCCAAATCACTAGGCCACCGACAACCTCACGATTACGAGCCCAGTAGCCTAACCACTACACCACCGACAACCTCACGATTACGAGCCCGGTAGCCTAACCACTACACCACCGACAACCTCACGATTACAAGCCCGGTAGCCTAACCACTACACCACCGACAACCTCACGATTACGAGCCCGGTAGCCTAACCACTACACCATCGACAACCTCACGATTACGAGCCCGGTAGCCTAACCACTACACCACCGACAACCTCACGATTACGAGCCCGGTAGCCTAACCACTACACCACCAACAACCTCACGATTACGAGCCCGGTAGCCTAACCACTACACCACCGACGTCACAAAACAAAGACAATCACAAAATCTTCACTCGCAATCCACAAATTTAGATATCAGCAGAAAATCGATGCTAGGATCAAATTTATAGATTTTCAATTGATGCCAGTGTCTTTATTGAGTTGAACGTGTGTCTTTTATCATTGCATTCTTTTAAATTGTACAAACGCCATCTATACATTGGAAGGATCTGTTTCCGTAGGGCAAAAATCCGAGAAGTACCTCATTTTGTCAGCAAACCTATATTCCGTCGCCCCTGCGATTTATAAGACTTTAGTGGAGAAGAATATTTTACAAAGACAAAAGCAAGCTACTTTTCTCTGTTCTCATCGAGCAGCAGCCTGGTGGCCAGCGTTTTAATTCTTTCTGAGGTTTTAGAATTCCCAGTCAAAAAAAGAAACTTTGACTGAGCAAATGAAACGGATAAATTTAATATTGATTCATCAAGTGTAGGCCTACATGATAAGATCATGTTTGATATTTTAGTCTTATCCGAGTAACATACAGAATGCCATCAAGTCTTTTTTCTCTTTGGCTCAACACTGAGGCCAGATCGTCTAATATATGAGATCAGTCAGATCCATCTAGTATCTTTCTAAGTAATATATTTCCCAGTGGCTCTTCTCTTGATATATTTATATTCTCTTCCACCCCTATCTTCAGTACCTTTCTATGTAAGATTATAAAATTTACCAGAGGCTCTTCTCTTGTATATTCTCGTCCACCCATCTATATTCAGTACCTTTCTATATTATTTACCAGTAAGTAGCTCCTCTCTTGGTATTCTCTTCCACTCATCTATCTTCAGTATCTTTCTATGTAAGATTATTTACCGGTAAGTAGCTCTTCTCTTGGTATTCTCTCCCACCAATCTATCTTCAGTTATTCTTTTACCTCCTCACTCAACTCATTGTCACCACATTCAAAATTCCAACAAACAATATCAATGAGGAAAGTAACAATCTCAGTTTGTACAGCACACTACAAAGAAACATGTTGCTATAGTATAAAATAAAGCCACTTGGACTTGCACAACTCATATCTATACATATTTACAAAGATTTAATCCACTTTTAGGAACGGGGAAATGAATTTCTAAGATCTTTGGCATGAGAACTAGGCACCTATCTCCATGCTCTCAAACCATACCCCCATTGAAATTTCTAATAAAAAATAAAAATAAAACTGTTCCTCTGCTATGGCATGATTCCAGACTAAAAGATGACAACAGATCAGATATGATTCTTTTCTATTAGACACAAACTGAAAGGCTCTTCACATCAACTCCATTTTTGTTAACAGTGAAAATGTGACATCTTCTTTAGCTCACTTTTTATTTTATGATGAACTGTTTTATTAAAAATGGAGAGAAGACAAGAAAGCAATGGGGTTGCGACATCGTGAAACTTACAGACAGAGACAAAGTATCTACGCCGTCTTCCATTACCACAGCGTAACACGCTGCATATTCCGATGCTCATCCTTACACATGATGACGTCTCCTAAAACGAGGAATGCCCTTTCTGATACAAGCATCTGCAACAACAAAAAATATTCACATTATTAATACAAACAGACCTTACCTCTCAACTGTACATGAGTCACAACGCGGTAGAACCAGGCACTCATCAATTTTTGGGCATATATATGTGAGGCAGCGTATGTGGACCTCATTTGTCACACCCAGGTATCCCACCTTTTGGCAAATTATGCTCATTTAACTTTCCGAATCGAGCCGAACTACGCGGGTCTCCATTTTGTTTTGCTCGGAAGTTCTCGTGCTACTCCTCTCTCTCTCTCTCTCCACTGCCCACAGACAAAATTGCACGCTTTTAGGCTAACAGTACACTAACAGTAGATCTAGTAATCTAGAACGTTTGTTCACGGCACAGAATTCTACAATTCTGTATCACAGTGTAGAATTCTGTGGTTCAGGATGAACGCTTCACTGGTTGGCCTAGCCTAGGCTATTATAACGGTGAACGCCCACCGGGTGAGAATAGCCAAAAGACTCGCCTGCGCTATTCTCACCCGGGGTGAGAATTTCTCACCCCGGGTGAGAATAGAGGTGGCCTTTTTTAAATTTATTGTCCGATTTCTATAATTTAGGCCTGTTCAAACTGTACCAAAGTTCATGGTTTGCTCTAGATCTAATTCTTTATGATGCAACAAACATGTTTGATCAAAGCACTTTGAAATTTGGGTTTGTGGTACCTATTGTAAGTGCTGGAACTTTCTTTACCTGAAATGGGCATCATCAAGTGTTGTCCAAAGACCAGATCATGATGAATGTTATGATGTGTCACGTCCTAGGATAGGATTCTAGATCTAGATCTAGATTTATCATCGAATCGAACTTTCTTGACAGAATTTGGTTTACAACCTTGACACTGACATAGGGGGTTGAGCTGAATACTGCCACTGGCCATCCACAAGCCATTATTTCATCATTTAACCATTCTCATGTTCACTCATGATTCTCAATCTCACGAACTGACATTATTTAGCAGACCACAATTCATTGACATGTTATCATTAGCAACGACCTCCTCACATAAACACCAACTCCACACGCTTAAGATGGGGATCAAAGTACAGGCAGCAGCTTACCTTTTTTAAAATCAACCAAAACAATACAAACAGCAAGAAAATTAGACGTCAATCAAGCCAAACAACATCTGGTATCGAATGTCAAGAAGCCCAACAAGGCTCTTTGTCACCATCTTGCCTTGTTACCGGAAATAACAAGGTTTGTTTGGGAAATTGTGGTCCCACAACCAGAATGCTCTTTTCTTCAGCCAAGCCATTATAGTCCATAAATTCACGTTCAACAACATGACCTTGAATAAAAGTCATAGTGGGGGTCACAGACTAAAAAGATAAATTCTTTTTAAGTGCGTTGGGAAAATACAAGTGACCTGGTTTTCACATGCTAAAAGAATAGTTTGGTAATTTTTTACTTATGCACCCACACACAGATGCTTTGATTTGAGGGCTAAAACTGATATTTTGCTGTAGAACACACGTATGGCCACTAAAACCCTTGCAAATCAATTGTTTTGAAGTAAATATCAATCCTAATTGCCAAAACATCAAATCCTTTGTGAACACCCCCCCCCCCCCCTTTCCCCCATGTTGTTAAAATCAAGTCAAATATTACTATTTTCAAACATCAATAACTCAATAACTATTGATTTGCTGCAAAAATGAAGGCCATATTCGTGTTCAGTATGCAAAATACTACCAGAAAAAAAGTAAAATAAAACGTGTACATGAGACGGGTGCATGAGTAAAAAAAAACATGCAATAGTTTCAATCATTATTTAAGAATTATGAAGAAACAATTTAGGGCTCTGGTTTCGTGCTGCTTTTTAATTAATTAGTTTATTTTTTAATCAGAAAGGGTTGGAGGGGGAGGGCGGGGGGGTTCACAAATTTCTCTGATTTAGTGTGCACCTTATTGGCCTTCTCAGTTCAGTCAGTTCAGGTCCTGCATCTCTGACGGTTGGCTCCGGCACTGGAGGCCGGGCACATTCGTGGAGGGTCAATGCGAAAAGCGGCGATAGACAAGTACGCTGGTGCGTGTGATGGAGCATTCTCGCACTGTACTCACCAGACTGGCTGACAACGAACCTTTTTTTAATTCAATGCATTTTTGTTGTTGCTGCTTTTTGTGAGAGTTTATCGGCTCTTAAAACAAAGGAAGATCACACCAGCGACAGAGTATTTTAGTTTTAGTTGAGGGTTTTACGGCGCTCGCAACTGCATAAGGTCATATGAGCGCCAGAAGATTAGAGGTGTTACAAGAGAGTACCAAACATAAAAAAGAAGAAGGGGACATAAGGACGATAGATGTTTGATAGGAAAGAAGAAGCAAACCACACCAGAGCACCCGCCAACCACCCACTCAAAGGAAGGTCACATCAGTGACAGAGTGTATCAATTTGTCAACATCAGAATGAATTACGTACGTTCGCATTTCACCATGAAATACAGACCGTGGCATATTAGGTTGGATACCTTTGGTTCTTCACTTGCGACGGATACAAGAGACATCGTTCTCATTCTGCATGTTTTTAACAAACATGAAAGAAAGTTAATTTGACACATTCACACATAAACACACACACACACACACACACACACACACACACACACACACACACACACA